ACCGCCGACTTCTCTCCAGGCTCCCTCAGCTCTACCCCTCTGCTGTCTCTTCAACCTCTCTCCATCCTGGGCTCCCACAACGACCCCGCTTTCATCATGGGCCCCACCGCCCCCCCCCCCCCGAGACATGACGTCATCGCACCACACAGCGCGTATGACGTCACGTCCCCATTCTACTCCTTTACATATGTATGGCAAGGTGATGGTTTTGATTGCTTCCTCAGATGGTTCTTTCCCAACGGTTGGGGCGATAGCTTTACGGATTGTGTAGTCAGAATATCCATTCATCTTGAGGGCTTGGTGTACGTGCTCCAGTTCACTGGCTAGGTGGTGATGGTCAGAAATACATCGAGCTCTATGGTGTAGAGTTTTGATGAGGGAATTCTTCTGGGATGGATGGATGGTGGTGGGAGTCAGGTTTTTGGTAGGCATCCGTATGGGTGGCTTTCCTGTAGACAGTGTCCCATTGATTACAATTTTAATTTTAAAAAATGTATCCGCTAAAACCCACCGAGAGAGAAACCATGATCAACCACAGGGGTGATTGTATCCCATTATTCACACAATTTTACTCATACAACTTTACCCTATTCCGTTGATTGAAATTGTAATTTGTTCGTCAGTGTACAATAACTATTGCAATGATTTTATAATGCCGTGTATTGGTTTGTTTTTCATGTTTTAAAGCAAGGCCATAGCCATGAAGTCAACATTGGGGGGCACCAAATCTTCCAGGCTGTCTGGGGGGTCCCAACCCAGAAAATATCTAAATTTGAAAACGAATTTCCTGCCTAAAATATAAAAAAAATTCACTAACACGTGGAATTAACTTTTCATTTATTTTTTTACAATAATATCAAATAGTGTATTGTATTACATTGCTCTGTTTTTACTTTTTTACCATTTCTTGTCTCATTGTATGTAATGGCAGAGATTAGGGATTAATAAAGTACAACCATAACCACAATCATATAAACAGAAATCTATGCATTGATTTATATGAAGACAAGTCCAGATATTATGGCCAAGGTTCAGCAAATTGTTGTTTTTATTTGCATAGCATAGCAATTATTTTCATAGCAATATATTGGGGGGGATATTTTGAGCATATTTGAATTTTGGGGGGGATGTGTCCCCCCCCCCCCCCCCCAATATATATTACAATTACGGCCTTGTTTTAAAGTATAAGTCCATCCGAAATTGTTGGTATCGTCCCCCCCGCTGAGGGAGTGGTACATTCCGAACAGCCCAACAGCTATAGTGAGCAATGTGGATCAAAACAGATACCGGTAACGCGATTTGTTATTATTACAGATGTACATTTGCCATCATCGGAATGACGTACACCAGGAATATTTCTACTGCAGGAGGAATCCGATGAGCTATGAAGCTCTTTTTCACAGACGTCCAGTAGCGGCACGGGGTCACAACGTTACAACAACAAACAGTACAACACACGATAGAAGTGCAATGTACCGGGATGTACAAACCACTCAAACGCATCTTGAGTCTTATCGATAAAAAGTTCGTGGTTTCGTGCGTGTTGTTTTCATTCGGGGATTGCCAGAAAGTGCCAGTTTTATACACCGTTTCTTGTTTTGAGTTTAGCGATTGATTCTACATGGCTCCATGCTATCATGTAAAGGGCCGTTCATAAATGACGTCACGCGATTTTGGACGATTTTTGACCCCCCCCCCTCCTCGTCATACGGCGTCACAAAAAGTCAGACCCCCCCCCCCTCAAATATGACGTCACAAAGCTCTGCCCCTCCCCCCCCCCAAATGAAACACGCTTCAAATCGCTTTAAACTATTGTCATTGTAGTGCGTATTTAATGTGGCGCCGCACTCTGATCTTGTGGGAGAAAACATTTTTAAAAAAAAGTATATTTAATTAAGTAGAACGTGTTGTCTATATTTAAAGTTGCGCATATTGACGTGACGTCACATTTCTCAAACCCCCCCCCCTCGTAACACATCGTCACAAATATCTGACCCCCGCCCCCCCCACCTAGGTGCGTGACGTCATTTCACAAGGGAGAAACACAAATAGACGAATATTCTTGGTTCTTTCGGTAAAGTCACGTAGGAGGGAAACAATAAAATAATTACGTGACTTTACCGAAAGAACCAAGAATATGAATCCCTGCAGTCACGACGAAAGTCAAAATGGACGAATGTTTTTACTCAATTTCCCCGCACAAGAATACGGGTAAGCCGCATGGGTTGTCGCACTTTACAGCACACGATGTACTTTATACAACTCGGCTATAGTACAGGGCGATGGTATGTAACAACGTTACACATCACACGTGTACTATATATGAGCTATAGCCAGCAGATAGTGTGATGTGTAATGATATGGCCCTCATGGCAGTACCGCGGGTTACCAAATAATACAAAATGAGCCGAGGCAATTAAATATGTTATTTCTGGGACACAATTTTTTCTCCAGCGATTGGAGGTAACCAATCAATCCGAAATCAGTGCCACACTCCGCGACGTCAAAAACGCCAAACATTAGCATTAAAAACATCCGTTATCGAAAAATTCAACTTTGTTTGAGTGCATCGTGTACAGCTCGTCGAGATGAGTCGATTGCCGCATCGCCGGCCGTCAACAGACTAGAAACGACTGCATCACGGACATCGTGCGAGAGCCGGGCTACTACGGTACCCGCCATGAGGTTCACGTGAACAATCTCATCCCCAACCCCAGCTTGTTATTATATAAGATCACGGCGGGTGACGTCACTCCACATTGGGCACACACACCCCCTCGTTAAAAATCATGAGCGGGTGACGTCACTCCACATGGAGCACACACCCCCTCGTTAATAATCATGAGCGGGTGACGTCACTCCACATGGAGCACACACCCCCTCGTTAATAATCATGAGCGGGTGACGTCACTCCACATGGAGCACACACCCCCTCGTTAATAATCATGAGCGGGTGACGTCACTCCACATGGAGCACACACCCCGTCGTTAATAATCATGAGCGGGTGACGTCACTCCACATGGAGCACACACCCCCCTCGTTAATAATCATGAGTGGGAGACGTCACGCCACATGAATCACCCCCCTCCCTCAATAATCATGAGCGTGTGACGTCACGGCACATGGAGCACCCTCGTTAATAATCATGAGCAGGTGACGTCACTCCACATGGTACACACACGCCTTCGTTAATAATCATGAGCGGGTGACGTCACTCCACATGGAGCACACACCCCCTCGTTAAAAATCATGAGCGGGTGACGTCACTCCACATGGAGCACACACCCCCTCGTTAATAATCATGAGCGGGTGACGTCACTCCACATGGAGCACACACCCCCCTCGTTAATAATCATGAGCGGGAGACGTCACTCCACATGACTCACCCCCCTCCCTCAATAATCATGAGCGTGTGACGTCACGGCACATGGAGCACCCTCATTAATAATCATGAGCGGGTGACGTCACCACACGGTGCGCCCCCTCATTAATAATCCTGAGCGTGTGACATCACGCCACATGGAGCACCCCCCCCCCTCATTAATAATCATGAGCGGGTGACGTCACTCCACATGGTGCACCCCCTCATTAATAATCTTGAGCGGGTGACATCACGCCACATGGAGCACCTCCCCCTCATTATTAATCATAAGCGGGTAACGTCACCACACGGTGCGCCCCCTCATTAATAATCATGAGCAAGTGATGTCACTCCACATGGTGCACCCCCTCATTAATAATCATGAGCGTAACAAAGTTTTTTTGGGTTAGATCGCGTAAATATAAAAATGTTGTCGTTAAACCCGCCACCACCCGACACAGCCAAATTAGTAAAGGAGGATTTCTCCACAAATCTCTCTGTCCGCCTGATGAAGCTGGTTGCGATTACTGGCGAAACGTCGTACACTCAGATTGTTCAATGTTGCGGATTTACTCTCCAACGCACCGGTTAGTGCTGTACTCGTAACTAAATTGGCCACGTTCTGTTTACGTGACAAACCTTTTACATACTCTTTGGTTCTTTCGGTAAAGTCACGTAGGTATAAAATAAAAAAAAACAAATTAAATCACGACGTATCGGAAGCAACACAAGCGCCCGTCATCAGGTGGAACAGCCACAGTTTTTTTTTAAAACAAATAAACAAATGCACCGTTTAAAACTAAATAAATTAATGCAAACCGACACACCTGATGACGACCGTTTGTGTTATGGTCGAAACGTCGTGAGAATTTTTATTGTTTTATATATATATTATTATTTTATTGTTTCCCTTCAACGTGACTTTACCGAAAGAGCTAAGAATATGAATTACTGCAGTCACGAAAGCTTTAAATACAATTTTAAATAAACAATTTGTTTCTTTTTTTATTTAAAGCTTTCGTGACTGCAGGGATTAATATTCTTGGTTCTTTCGGTAAAGTCACGTAGAAGGGAAACAATAAAATAATAAAAAATGTTGTTTTACATTTTTATTATTTTATTGTTTCCCTTATACGTGACTTTACTTTAAAAATAATAAAAAATATTGTTTTATATTTTTATTATTTTATTGTTTCCCTTATACGTGACTTTACCGACAGCCTGATCCCTTCACCTGATGAAGGCCGCTTGTGTTGTGGCCGAAACGTCGTGATTTTTGTTGTTTTATTTTTTTACCTACGTGACTTTACCGAATAGAACCAAAGAGTATGGATCATTGCAGTCACGAAAGCTTCAAATCTAGAATTTACCGAAAGAACCAACAATATAATTTGTTTCCTGCTGTGGCTGTTCCACCTGATGTGACGGACGCTTGTGTTGTGATTTGATTTATTTTTTATTTTATACCTACGTGACTTTACCGAAAGAATCAAAGAGTATATGGATCCCTGCAGTCACGAAAACTTCAGCTCTAGATTAAACCTTTTACTTAATTGTTTGACATTTGTTCGCTAAAGCCTCCTGGCTACGCGTCAAACGCATGCAATATAAAAACAACAACAACTAGCGCGCCACGTGACGTCACTTCCCTTCGTCGCTGGCGTGTGCCACGTCTCACTTCCGCCGGCCCTCCTCCCACCCACCCCGCAGTCTCTCTCATCCGCCTCCATCTCGCGTCCCACACCGCCCTCCGCAACCCTACAACCATGGTGAGAGAGAGAGAGAGGCAGTATTCTTACGTATAGGTGTGCGTTAAAATAATGTTTATTGGAAATGAAAGATTTTCACAGCGAGTGGTTCAGTTTTTTTTGTGTGGAACGTTCGTCGCCGAGGCCTTGCTTGGTCGAGACGAGCCTACGGGCTTGCCTGGAAAGCCGCGCCGCCTTGCGCGAGGCGTTGGGCGGCGGCGGTGCAGACCAAAGAAACCCCCGAGTTGGGTTGGTGGGTGGAACTGCTTAATTTGAAATAATAGTTTTCACAATAACATTTGAGACGAATGTGTTGTTTGTGTGGTTGCAAGCACGGGCGGATGTTTGGTTATAATCGTATGTTCCAGATGTTATTCATTTCGTCCTACGCGCTGTGTGTGTACGTGTCGCTCTGACAAAAGCCTCCCATTATTTGAGTCGTTTCGAGATTTCTAGAGCTACGTTGCCCTTAATTCGTCATTACAATTATCTCCAGGGTGCACTTTATAAACGAATTCGAAGTAAAAGCGAGTTAAGACGTAAAATAGTTTTAACTGGCCTGGCAATTAATCGCGGCGGCCTTAATCCAGCAGTGGATTGATCATGGCAGTTGCTGATGAATTATAAATATTTAACTGTCCATTAGTAACCATGAGTTAATGGTTAATAGAGGTGGGCTTGGGAAGGACACGTCATCATTTGTAAGTGGTGGACGATGGCCGATACTGGGGATCCTGTAGAAAGGGGTCTTTGGCCTACTCTTCCACGCCGACCAGACGTTTTGGAAGTGGGCGGTAGTACCAATACTTTACTCCCACCACATGTAAGCCTGTCAAATCGACTCGCTGTGATGTTGGTCAGCTTGTGTTAAAATTAAAAGCCACAGTGATCCCCTGCTCTAATGAGCATTGAGGCATTGGTGATCATCTCCGGTTTACAGCCCTGCAGAGCCTGTGCTGGAAACTCCACATTCCCATGGCGGAGGTCAGTATCTCCATAGGATGACCATTATCGACTCTTCCCCCCCCCCCCCCCCACGAAGTGGTATATATTTTAGCGACCGCGGGGTGTATGATGGGCTGAGTCACCCTCCCCCAATGCATGCCTGCCCTTAAGAGGTGCTCGCTAACAGCGCTTTCCTACGTCGGTGTGTGAAGACGTTGTTGGTGTGGGGGGGGTAACCCAGGGGTGGGCAAATGTTTTGACTCGCGGGCCACAATGGGTTCTAAAATTTGACACAGGGGCCGGGCCAGGAACATATGGACGGAGTGTTTGTGTGAACTCATATAAATGACATGTAAAAATCATTACATGAAAGGATTTGGCCTTTAACAGGTAGCAAAGCATTAATTTGCAAGGCAATTTAACAAATTGCACGAACATGAACAATACAAAAACATTTCGTAACTCCCGGTGAAAGTACGCCATCTAATGAGGAAATGGGGGCATTACAGGAGAAAGGTAACATTTTATTTAATAATATTATTTGTACAAGTTCGGCGGGCCTGATTAAAAAGCCCAACGGGCCGTATACGGCCCGGGGGCCGTACTTTGCCCATGTCTTGGGTAACCTCTCTTTGTCTTTTGTGTTGCAGCCTGGTCCCGCAGCGAGCGCCTCCACCGTGGGAGCTAGCGGACGATCGCCAAGCAGGGCGGTGTCCACTCGGCCCTCCGGGTCGTCCGTGCGGCAGAGGTACGACGGGTTGGGGGTGGCGGTAGAGGCAGTGCAGCAAGTGGTGTGGCGGCGACGCGGCACCAGCGGCTTTGACGCTCGTTTGCGGATCAGTTTAACACGTAGTAGAGGGCTTTCACGACCAATATCCATAATACAGGTTTTTTTTTGGTTAGATGACCGAAATATATATAAATGTTGTGTCGTGAAACCCGCCACCACCCATCACAGCCAATTAGTAAGGTTTTGTCACGTAAACGGAACATGCCAATTCGTTACTAGTACAGCACCACCAGTGTGTTGGAGGGCCAAGCCATGATTGTAAATGTTGTGGCTTGGGCCATTTCCCGGAACGTTAGCCGAAAATGTGTTTGTTATTAACAATGAAAATGCGCACCTTCTGCGCCACTTTGGGTGCCGGAGATCTCGCGGAATTAAACAAAAAAAAAAGAGCCGGGCCATGTTATGCCGGTGTCACGGTGAAAAATGTTGCCATGTTTGATCAATTGAAAGCGCCACTAACTCATGCATGCTGTGATCTCTGTGCGATCCACCGAACCTAACTGGTGACCTCGCAGGAAGGCGACGAGCAGCGGAGGAAGTAGCGCGTCTCGCTCTACCTCTGCCGGAGGATCTGGGGGCATGTGGAGGTTCTACACCGAGGATTCGCCTGGACTCAAAGTGTAAGTGTGGTGGCAGACCCCCCCGCGGTGGTTCTGGCTGTCCGCAGACCCCCTCCACCGAATTATCTGTCCCGTCGGCATTGGGGTTGGTGATTGAATCAGAATCGGAGTATTTTATTTAAACTGGAGGAATCCAATGGGCTATAAAGCTTTTTTTCACAGATGTCCAGTAGTTTCACAGGTGTCCAGTAGTTTTGCAGGTGTCCAGTAGTTTTGCAGGTGTCCAGTAGTTTCGCAGGTGTCCAGTAGATTCACGGATGTCCAGTAGTTTCACGGATGTCCAGTAGTTTCACATGTTTCCAGTAGTTTCGCAGATGTCCAGTAGTTTCACAGGTGTCCAGTAGTTTCACATGTTTCCAGTAGTTTCGCAGATGTCCAGTAGTTTCACAGGTGTCCAGTAGTTTCACATGTTTCCAGTAGTTTCACAGGTGTCCAGTAGTTTCACAGGTGTTAGTTTCACAGGTGTCCAGTAGTTTCACGGATGTCCAGTAGTTTCACAGGTGTCCAGTAGTTTCATGGATGTCCAGTAGTTTCACAGGTGTCCAGTAGTTTCACAGATGTCCAGTGGTTTCACATGTGTCCAGTAGTTTCACGGGTGTCCAGTAGTTTCACGGGTGTCCAGTAGTTTCACATGTGTCCAGTAGTTTCACGGGTGTCCAGTAGTTTCACGGGTTTCCAGTAGTTTTACGGGTGTCCAGTAGTTTCACGGTTGTCCAGTAGTTTCACGGGTGTCCAGTAGTTTCACGGGTGTCCAGTAGTTTCACGGGTTTCCAGTAGTTTTACAGGTGTCCGTTTGACAGCCGGTAAACCGGTAACTGTTTCGGAGTCGATCATTGCTGGCAGCAGCGCCCTCCGCGTGTGCCGTGCCGGTGCTCGCTAACGGCGCTTGCCGCTACTAGTCGCTGAAATGCTGCGCGTGCGAGCTTTGTCTTGTTTTTAGTCTGCATGCCTGCGTATCCCCGATGTGCATGGTTGTAGCTGTAATGAACGTCCGTGTGAATGTTTCTGGGCGTGCGCACGCATGCGTGTTTGATTAAAAGAACGGAAGTGCCCCGGTGAGCTCGCTGCGCTACCAACCTTCAGACACGAAGTTCGATTCCCGCTCGCCGCTGTCGTTGGTGGTGAATAGCTGGGCTTCCCCTAGGTCTACTGAGCCTTAAAACGAGTACTTGGTGCGGTGTGTAAACATCAGCATTGGAAAGGCAACGGGAGCTTGGCGTGGTGCTGGCCACCGACTCCCTTGTGTGCCATTGCGGCCTTAAGAAGCGCTTGCTATAACAGCATTACCCCCACAGATCTGACTTTGTGTATTTCCGTGTCTGTCTGTGTGTGTCTGTGGGCTTTTGTGTGTGTATATATGTGTCTGGACTTGCCTTTGTCTTGTATATTTAACCAGATGTATTTGCTGTGTGTGGCCATGTCTAAGTGTTTCTGTGCATGAGTGTTGCTACGTGTCTGCACGTATATATATGCCTCTACACGTGTGTCTGTTGGTGTATGTGTGCCCACCCACCCTACCCCCACAGTGGCCCCGTTCCTGTGCTGGTTATGAGCCTGCTGTTCATAGCCTCCGTGTTTATGCTGCACATCTGGGGCAAATACACGCGCTCGTGAGCTGTGCTCCCCATAACCGCATCGACCAGAAGCCCTCGCAAGACACGCACAGCAGCAACAGCATCACCGGCAACACCAGCAACAGCAGCTGCATCAGCAATACTATCAAGAGCGACACCAGCAACAGCAGTATCAGAAATACCCCCCGCACCGCCGATGAGCACGGCTGGCTACGCACGGTGCGAAAGAAGTTCTACATACAACACCAGTAGCAACAGCAGTTATTTAAAAAAAAAACTGTCAAATGGTTGAACTTGCACCACCATCAACCACGGAGGTCGTCACTGCCTGGTGTCACAATCACACCTCGCCATCGCTTCTTTCCTTCTGCCAGATCCCGCGGCAATTGCACATCTGACACCCTGACCTTCCAATGTCTGCTCTTCCAAGTCTCATCACCACACCAACCACATCTGGCTTGCGTTGTAATTTTACCACCGCCAATTCCATCGATCAATCACCAATCGCACCGTGACCAATTCGATCACCGCGCAGCGAGAAGCTTTTCCGCCGCCAACGTCTTCGGCGGGAATCGGGCCGATCGCCACCGTCGCTGGGGCCCGATTTGGCTGTTTTTTCTCGCCGGGGATTTTGGGCTAATGACAAACGCACACACAGTCGGCTCGGTCTTAAAAGCGTCGCGGTGGCGGCTCGTGCGTGAAGGCTACGCGGTGACGGCACGCGCGTGGGTGAATCCCGTCGCGTTTTGGACCAAACGGACACCCGTTTAGCGACCCCCGTGTTCGTGATTTGAGCCCCGGTTTTTTTTTACGAGCTCGAGACGTCGTTGTAGACTCGCCGTTGTTGCAATGCTGTAATTAAATCGCTCTGTCGGCCGCCCGCCGTTCGCCAAATAAAAACCAAAACACGTCACCGATGCACCTCGCCTCCGTCGGGTCCTACTTACCTCGCGCCGTTCAAAGCGGGGGGGGTGGGAGGTGGTATTCATCCAGCAGTGGATTGACTTGACCGTGGCCGATGATGGCTTCTAAATGTGACCGTATCTCAAGACGCTGTGCAGAAAGAGTGGGGCGTGTTTATTAAGAGAGGGTGGGGGGCGATGGTCAGTTGGGGGCAGAGGAGTGGAAGAATTCTGGACATGAACAGAGGGATGTGATATTCTTGGTTCTTTCAGTAGTCACGTAGAAGGGAAACAATACAAATATAAAACAAAATTCTCACGACGTTTCGACTGCAACACAAGCAATCATCATCAGGTGTGAAAACCACAACAAGAAAATTTGAAAAAAGTGGCTGTTTTTTAACGTTAGCACCACGGATAGCGATTTGACAGTTTGTTCAGATGGACGAGTCCATCTATGTTCGGAAAAGAGGAGGGGGGAGACGAAAAATAATAGATGCGGTCTGAAAGCCACCTTAAGGGTGATCAATTAAGACCCGAAATGGTTTATCAAATCCTTCCAATGATTGCTAAGCCAGAATCCATCTTCTCGGTTGAAATTGTCTCTGTGTTTGTTTATGTGGATAGCCTCATGAACGAATCTCTCATGGTAGCCAGATGGCTTGCAAAGAACCTCTTGTCTTGCAAAGGACCTCTGTCTTGGAGAAGTCAATGTCATGTGAACCTACTAGAGGGATGTCAGTCTACAGTACAAGCGCTCTTTGTATGTGGAACTCTATACGAGCCTAGGTCCCCATGTATAACTTCTGAGTGTGAGCCTCTTACCCGAGTCGAACGGTTCTCTTCGAATCGACGGTGAGTCTGTGGGTCTGTGTGTGAGTATGGCAAGGAAGCAGACGGTCGTAGGCTGAGGGCAAGAGAGGAAGGTTCCGAGAGCCGAGTAGACTTGCACAGGGGCAAGGAGTTAACAGCGCGAGCGGCTGGACCGTGTAGACGGCGGAGGTGAACGAGGCCGACCTCCCTCGGAAGTTCCTCGGCCTGCAGAGAGAGAGAGACGGCCGCAACTCGCGGGAATGTGGAATTCCCACCGCTGCCTTGGCCATCACCCCCCACTGCTTGGGTTTGGCAGCGCGGGAAGACCCCATTTTTTCTGAACGCGCTCAAATGCTGCAACCACGCGCTCCTTCCAAAAAAAAAGGCACTGGCACGGATTGGGCGCGAGGTGGCGGCTTTGGCCACGGCGAGGAAACCAGCCGCCCTGTGGACCGTGGAGGAAAGCCTCGCGGAGACTCGAGACGCCTCTTTTTTTTTTTAAAGGAGGGTCCTGGCCAAGTTTTGTCCGCAGTTGGGAGAGCGGTGGGCGTCGGGCGATGTTGCTACTGCAGCTGTTGCTGCAAGCAGGTGGGGAGCGGTGGTGTAGCGGTTAGCGCGCTGCGCTATGAGCCCCCCGGCGACCCGAGGTCGATTCCCGCTCAACAGCCAACACCGGTGACAATTATTTGAACCGGTCCTGGGCCTCCCCTAGGTCAACTCAGCCACAAATGAGTTCCTGGTGCAGTGTGTGAACATCGCCACTGCGGGAGATAAAGGCGGTCGGGCGTGGTGCTGGCTACCCAAACCCTCGTGTACAGTTCCGGCCTTCATAGGCGCTCGCTAACAGCACTTGCCCCAACAGTCTGTGGGTTCTTTGCTTGCTGCTGCTGTTTGTGATCCCAATTGAGAGTGATTCGCAGGCAGTGTTTCAGCATTGGGGATGCGGTGGGTTAAACAGGGACAAAACGTCGTGTTCATGTTTAACAGAAGAGGTGGAGAGAATACACAAAACTCCACTCGATAAACAGAAACGAAACTTTTTATTTTAACAGGCAATGCCCACTGAGCTATGTAGTTATTTTTTTAGAAGCGACCTGGCCACACATGATACCCCAAGGAAGTGTCTTATCGTGTGGGAATATCCATAATAGAGGTTTTTTTGGGTTAGATCGTGTAAATATGAATGTGTCGTTAAACCCGCCACCACCCGACAGCCAATTAGTCACGTAAACAGAACGTCAACAGAACGTGCCAATTCGTTACCAGTACAGCACACCGGTGCGGTGAAGAGCAAATCCACAACATTTACAATGTGAGTACGACGTTTCGCCAGTAATTGCAACTAGCTTCATCAGGCGGACAGCCAGATTTCTGTGCTTCGACCCATTTATATTTACGCAATCTAACCCCCCAAAAAAACCTTTATTTTGGATGGTATTGAGTCGCGAAAACCCTATTTGTTAAACTGTGGAAATATACAGCAGCAGTCAAATAGTCTAAACGCGTGTTTTTAAACGTGGAAGGAAAAAAACCGAAGTTCTTGGAGGGGGGGGAACATACGAACTCAAAATATACAGGGTGCTTAAAATTAGTTTTTTTTAACACTTCTGAGAATTTGCAACAATGCCACGTGACACGTGCTGCCGCCTCCAGGCTCTGGAGACCACCTGAAGAAGATTCCAGGCAATGCGTTGACAACGATGGCGAACGAGTGGAGACTCTGACCTTTTGAAGCTATTGACATTACATTTGTTATCATGTTACAGTGTATTATCCGTTCTTTGTGTTACCATTCAAAACGATAGTCCCATCCAAGTGTTAACATTGTTTTGAAGCATCCCGTATACAGCAAGCATCACAGTCGGGATCGAACCCATGGACCTCCTGTGTACCAGGCGAGGTAGTTAACATCTCCTAGCCACCGTGATGATGATTGATGATGATGAGAGAGACACGCAAACTCCAAATATACAGCAGCAAGCGTCAGGGTCGGGATCGAACCCACGGACCTCCTGTGTACCAGGCGAGGTAGTTAACATCTAGCCACCGTGATGATGATGAGAGACACGCAAACTCCAAATATACAGCAGCAGGCGTCAGGGTCGGGATCGAACCCAGGCCCTCCTGTATACCAGGCGAGGTAGTTAACATCTCCTACCCACCGTGATGATGATGATGAGAGAGAGAGAGACACGCAAACTCCAAATATACAGCAGCAGGCGTCAGGGTCGGGATCAAACCCACGACCTCCTGTATACCAGGCGAGGTAGTTAACATATCCTAGCCACCGTGATGATGATGATGAGAGAGAGAGACACGCAAACTCCAAATATAGAGTAGCAGGCGTCAGGGTCGGGATCGAACCCAGGCCCTCCTGTATACCAGGCGAGGTAGTTAACATATCCTAGCCACCGTGATGATGATGATGAGAGAGAGAGAGACACGCAAACTCCAAATATACAGCAGCAGGCGTCAGGGTCGGGATCGAACCCACGGACCTCCTGTATACCAGGCGAGGTAGTTAACATCTCCTAGCCACCATGATGATAATGATGATGAGAGAGAGAGACACGCAAACTCCAAATATAGAGTAGCAGGCGTCAGGGTCGGGATCGAACCCAGGCCCTCCTGTATACCAGGCGAGGTAGTTAACATATCCTAGCCACCGTGATGATGATGATGAGAGAGAGAGAGACACGCAAACTCCAAATATACAGCAGCAGGCGTCAGGGTCGGGATCGAACCCACGGACCTCCTGTATACCAGGCGAGGTAGTTAACATCTCCTAGCCACCATGATGATGATGATGAGAGAGAGAGAGACACGCAAACTCCAAATATAGAGTAGCAGGCGTCAGGGTCGGGATCGAACCCACGGATCTCCTGTATACCAGGCGAGGTAGTTAACATCTCCTAGCCACCGTGATGATGATGATGAGAGAGAGAGACACGCAAACTCCAAATATACAGCAGCAGGCGTCAGGGTCGGGATCGAACCCACGGACCTCCTGTATACCAGGCGAGGTAGTTAACATCTCCTAGCCACCATGATGATGATGATGAGAGAGAGAGAGACACGCAAACTCCAAATATAGAGTAGCAGGCGTCAGGGTCGGGATCGAACCCACGGATCTCCTGTATACCAGGCGAGGTAGTTAACATCTCCTAGCCACCGTGATGATGATGATGAGAGAGAGAGACACGCAAACTCCAAATATACAGCAGCAGGCGTCAGGGTCGGGATCAAACCCACGGACCTCCTGTATACCAGGCGAGGTAGTTAACATCTCCTAGCCACCGTGATGATGATGATGATGAGAGAGACACGCAAACTCCAAATATAGAGTAGCAGGCGTCAGGGTCGGGATCGAACCCACGGATCTCCTGTATACCAGGCGAGGTAGTTAACATCTCCTAGCCACCGTGACACCCCAAGCGGTGGTACAACAGAGGCAAGGGGAGCAGACGAGAGTGGGAGAGCGGCAAGGAGAGTTGGAGAGTGAGAGAGGGGGGTGCAAGGGGAGCAGACGAGAGTGTGGGGAGAGGAGGAGGGAGGAGGAGAGGATGGGGGAGCAGGGGACGCGGGGGAGTGCGAGAGGGAGATTTAGGGGGAGGAGAGGCGGGAGACATTTGAGATTGCGAGAGAGTGCAAGAGAATGGGGGCGGCGGGGGGGTGGGTGCAGAGGAGCGAGAATTGTGGAGGGAGAGCGTGGGAAGAGTGGGAGAGTGGGATGGTGGAGAGGGGAGGGGCTGAGGAGGAGGAGGGAGGGAGGGAGGCTGCATCTGATGGAGGAGTCCCGCGCCTCGGAGCGGCAATTGCGTGCAAGCTCGCAGGTAGGCTCGCCGCCGCTGTGGTCGTGGTTGTTGTTGTTACTGTGGTGGTGGTGGTTGCTGTGGTTGTTGTGGTTGCTGCTGTTGTTTATTATACACAGTGCACATGCGGTGGGTGTGTGTGTCGTGCCGGCCTTCATAGGTGCTCGCTAACGGCACTTGCCCCAACAGTCTGTTGAAGGCTATAAGGGGGATCTTTGTTTATACATGTGGGTGTGTGTTTAGAGTGGAGGTGTGCGTGTGTGTATAGAGTGTAGGTGTGTACTACACTCTATGCACACACGCACACCAATACTCGACACACACTGAGTGTAGGTGTGCGTGTGTGTATAGTGTGTATATGCGCGTGTGTGTATGTATAGTGTGTTTATGTGCG